GAGAAACACATTTATATATATATATATATAATATATATATAAATGTTTGACCAATCACATTTCAGCCGTCACTTGTTGCCAGGCAGAGTCAAAGTCAAAGAATTGTGTCTGAGGACTTCACAATCCGTTCTGCAGGCAAACAGTCCTGGTTTATACACACATTTATATATATGTATATACATATATATATAAATGTGTATATATGTGTGTGTGTGTGTGTGTGTGTGTATATATATATAATATAAAAAAAAAAAATGTGTTTCTCACCTTCCACGGTGGTTGGTCTCTCACCCTCATTGAGCTCGGGTCGTCTACCAGAGGCCTGGGAGCTTGACAGTTCTGCGCAGTATCTTTTGCTGTTCCCAGTACTGCACTTTTCTGGACTGAGATGTTCCGTTGTTTTTCCCGGTATCTGTTGTAGCCTCTTCCAGTTTGGGGGTTACAGCCCCGAGTGTCCGATCACCACAGGCACCACTGATGCCTTTACTTTCCAGGCTCTCTCCAGCTCTTCCTTGAGCCCCTGGTATTTCTCTAGCTTCTCGTGTTCCTTTTTCCTGATATTACCATCGCTTGGTATTGTGATGTTCCACCACCACGGCTCTGCTCTGTTTCTTATCCACCACCACTATGTCTGGTTGGTTCATCACCATTCTGTTAGTCTGTATCTGGAAGTCCACAGGATCTTGGCTCGGTCATTCTCCACAACCTTTGGAGGTGTTTCCCACCTTGATCCTGGGGTTTCCAGCCGTACTCTGCACAGATGTTTGTACACTATGCCCGCCACTTGGTTATGTCGCTCCATGTATGCTTTCCCTGCCAGCATCTTACACCCCGCAGTTATGTGCTGGACTGTCTCAGGAGCCTCTTTGCACAGTCTACACGTGGGTCTTGGTCTGGTGTGGTAGATCTGGGCCTCTATTGCTCGAGTGCCAGGGCCTGCTCCTGAGCAGCCAGGATCAGTGCCTCTGTGTGTCCTTCAGACCAGCCCTCTCAAGCCACTGGTAGGATTTCTTGATATCAGCCACTTCAGTTATGTTCCGGTGGTACGCCCCATGTAGGGGTTTGTCCTGCCATGATGGTCCCTCCAGCACCTCTTCCTCTGGACCCCACTGTCTGAGACATTCTCTGAGCACCTCATCTGCCGGGGCCTTGTCCTTGATGTCTCAAGGAGCTTGGATGTTTCATCCTGGACAGTGGTTCCCACACTCACTAGTCCTCGGCCCCCTTCCTTCCGCCTGCGTACAGTCTCAGGGTGCTGGATTTGGGATGGAACCCTCCATGCAGGTCAGGAGCTTTCGTGTCTTAACATCTGTGGTCTGTATCTCCTCCTTTGGCCAGCTTACAATCCCTGCAGGGATCTGATCACTGGCAGGGCGTAGCTGTTGATTGCCTGCACCTTGTTCTTGCCATTGAGCTGGCTTCTAAGGACTTGCCTCACTCTTTGCAGGTATTTTGGCCGTAGCCGCTTTCCTTGTTGCCTCTTCGAGGTTGCCACTTGCTTGTGGTGATACCAAGGTACTTGTAACTGTCCTCAACGTCTGCTATTGTTCCCTCTGGGAGTGACACCCCCTCTGTTACTTCCCTCTCTTTGTCACCATTCCTGCTACATTTCTCAAAGCCCGAATGACATCCCAATGTCTGTACTGTAGATCCTTGTGGTGTGGATCAGTGAGTCGATGTCTCGCTCACTTCTTAGCGTAGAGCTTGATGTCGTCCATGTAGAGGAGGTGACTGATGGTGGCCCCGTTTTCTGAGTCGGTATCCATAGCCAGTGCGGTCGATTATTTGGCTGAGAGGGTTCAGGCCTATGCAGAACAGTAGTGGGGACAGTGAGTCTCCTTGGTATATGCCACATTTTGATGGACACATGGCAAGTGGCTTCCCCTTGGCTTCAAGGGTGTTATATATATATATATATATATATATATATATATATATATATATATATATATATATATATATATATGTTTTGTTTTTTTTGTGTTCATGCTCTGTTTAACCCCAAACAAATCGTAAACATGCACATCTTACCTTTGGTCCAGTTCTATTGATCCAAAACAGATTCAATCAGTTTTTATGAGTCAAAACCAAATTATGTCCCAAAGTATTGATAATAACCTGTTCTGAAAATATTCTCCATGTGCATGTCTCTTGTTAAAGTAATCTGTAAATCTGGAGGCTGCTTTTACTTTTCACACTAAAACACTTCTCCAAAGCAGAGTTCACAGCTGCTGGACGGACGTGGATCAGCGATAAAACTCAGAGTTTTAATAAACATCCTGTGTTATTGTGTTAGTCGTGCTGATCATTAGCCTAAAGAAATAAATGCACAGGCTGAAACATTTTGCAGATGATCGGCTTATTGTATTCCCAGTCCTCCTCTTTAAGAGATTCTGCTACATTTGTCCTAATTCACTTTTATTTGATTAAAATACATTTTACTGTGGACAATGTGCAGATCTCTGAGGTTCCACTGAGTGAAGCAGTAGATCAGCTCTGGGTGAAACTCTGAGGACGTGGATCTGTTTGAAGTGGTTCAAAACCCACAGCAGGGAAACACACGACGTCTCATTTGACTTGGTGTTGTTTTGTTTTGAAATACTCGAGTATAATAACTTTTGGTTCCTCTTTTCACTGTGAGTAAATCAACAAGAAAAGAAAAAAAAAAGAACAACATCTAGCTTTAGATTTGGTTTTTATTTTAAATGTTTGTCTATTCTTTAACAATACCAGACTCTGTTTGTTTCTCAGTTTTATTTCGTCTTTTTAACAGCTGTTGAATAATTGTTTAGGTCAGTGGCCAAGAGGATCCAGCTGCCCTGAGCTCCTACTAAAACTGGGACCTCCCTGGTTTGTGTTGGTGATAATAAAATAGTGAAACAAGTGTGTAAGGAAAATGTGAGTCAGTTTAGTCACATTTTCTTTGTGTTTTTAAGCAGATTTTCTGTATTTTCCCTAAACAAATAACAGTTTATGTGTCTGTTTACAGTTGGCAGATTGGTCAAAATAGAGACACCTGGAACATTTCTTGTATAAAACTGGAACAAATCAGTGGTTTTGTATAAATCTGCAGGAACAGAGACACAAGGCTAAAAACTGAGTCTGTCCCAGGGAAACAGGGACATCAGGTCATTCTGTCCGTGTGACCTGGTGTCCATTTCTGGTTGATCGCTTCTCCGAATTTTTCATAATGGAGCAGTCCAACCTGAAGTGTCCTTACCTGCACATTTCGACTCCTAAACCGCGTCTGCTGCAGCCCTGTAGTCCAAAAAACAACCACCAGCAACTACTGCAGGTTTAATCGTGTTTTACTTTCAGTTTTCTTGCTACAGCTTATGTTTCAAAATGGATGCCTTGTTAACTCAGTCCTATTCAGAAAAAGGAAATGTTCACATCCTTTAATCGTGTTATAGTTTTTTCCCCTCCGCATTTACTCACCAGAAGTTGTGTTTTGGAAAGAATCATCAGTGTTTTGAGTCATCTTTGTCTACGTCGTACTTTTCATTGCGCTATTTTACCCCCTGAGCCGTTTAATCACCGGGAAAGACAAACGTTCAGACTTCCGGTGTAGATAAGTCCATAACCGCGCAATTCTTTAACGATAATAACATACACAAAATATTCACAGTTACATAGCAAAAAAAAAAAAACAAAAAAAAAATGACCCACGGACACAACCGAGGGACCGACAACAAATGACAATACAGAAAAGAAACGTTGAATTACTCACACTTCATATTTGGAGCTGTGACCC